GGGGTGTAGACTCAGGCAAAACGGGGTAGGTGGGTAGAAGAGATACACTTTCGGCCTGTGGTTGCTGCATTTCAAAACCGAATCTCTGATTTTAAAATGATTTTTATGTCCATAAAGGGAGCCTGGTGAGTGGGCCCTGGAAAGAGCAAAACTGAACGTGAATGAAAACTTCCTGCTGGTGGGGATCCTTGAAGAGTTGGAAGATGTGCTGCTGTTACTGGAAAGATTTTTACCTCATTACTTCAAGGATGTGCTCAGTATCTACAAAGACCCAGGTAACTCTGTTTGTGAGCAAGCTCTTCCCTGTTGCGAGCGTTACCTTGTGAAGGACTCGAGAAATAAAAGAGTGAGATCGTCTCTTGTGTTAAGGAGGGAGAGCTCCCGGGCTGGCAAGGCCAGGTTAGAGCCATGAGATACGAACACCCAGACCTCGAGCGTCAGGTCCAAACACCAGCTCACCGGGTCTGAAACGCCGATGGTTCCATTTTTCCGGCCTTTGGGACGTGAAATCGGCACCGCGTCCATCAGCCTTGTCCTCGCGTGTCGCGGGGTGAACTAGCGGGTAGCTCTGCGCGTCTGGGGCCCACTGATGGGGACAAAGGGGGGTGAAGGGGCCATCGTGCGATGAAGCCTCGCTGGCCTATTTCGTTTGACAAAAGCACCTGGGTGAACAAAATCCTGGCAAATAGAATACATAGAGCAGCAAATTGAAAATACAATTATGATTTTATCCTGACGAATGGAGTGGTTTCCAAATAGAAGCAAGAGAGGGAACACAGCCGAGCAATTACAGAGGCTGCCCGCAGTCTCACGGTAACTAGGATTACCTTCAGAAACTCATCTGCTTTTGTCATTATTATTTTATCCCGAGAGAAAGACAAACGAGACCGTTTCTTCCCTTTTCTCCCTGACCCGCTGCCGTGCGTGTGGACTCGCTGCTCCGTTTAGTGCTTTGCTCTGTCACCCTGGGGTGGGGACGGGCCCTCGCCCCACTCCTGCGCCCCGGGCGGGCGGCCCGGTCTTCGCCCAGAGGAGCCCCGGCTCCCGTGCCACAGGTGCCCCTGCAGCCCGTGTTTCCCTGGAGGAGGAAGGCTGGCGGGGGGCTGCCCTAGTCCCCAGCTCTCTCATTGGGGTGAGCTCCCCGGACCCGGGCTCGGGACGGAGACCCACGGTGCGCCTGCGGGTGCGTCTCCTCGGCGGGCAGTGCGCTTTGAAGAACAGAAGCTAATAAACCCCAAACAGTGGGTTTGGGGGCCGAGGTCTTCCTCTGCCCTTTTAACAACGGGCAATTTAAAGCGCTTAAAGAATTTAAAGAGCCCCGCTGAGACCAATTCTTAGCTCTGTAAGACAAGATAAGCTCTGGTGTTTGTGCAAGGTGGGGTCTTATCCTGAATTAGGCTCCGGTGATGAGAAGGTTTCCGTCCTTCTTTGTTGCTTTACTTCTTTGGCTTGATCTTGTTGTATAGCGTGTGGAGTGTGTGTGTGTGTGTGTGTAAGATACACAATATGAGCTAAAAGGCTGGCTGAGTCCTTGAGACACACTCTTGTCCCAGCATCTGGGAGGAGTATCAGTGAGCCCACGTCACACACACCACCNAGATACACAGTATGAGCTAAAAGGCTGGCTGAATCCTGGAGACACATAGTTGTCAATTAAGATGAACACACTCTCGTCCCAGCATCTGGGAGGAGTATCAGTGAGCCCACGTCACACACACCACCCACCCTGGGACCTGGAACCAACGTTATTCCAGGTCCCAGGATGCCACAGCTCAGCACCCAGAAGGTCAACATCGGGGGTGTGGGCCTGAGGACTTAGATGAGGACATTTTTATCTTTGCTCTTCTTAAATATAAATAAACCACAAACAAAAGGCTTACCCCAAGAGCCCACTTAACCGCGGTTGTCAGGTTTTATCATCTTGACTTCCCAACTGTTTGCTTTATTTAAATACACAGCTTCTCAGAAACTGTGGGCCTTGGTCCCATGACCTGTAGGCACGTTAATTACCATAGAACATATTCCTGAAAACTGAATTACCATGAGCTTGTTTGCCTTCAGCAGCAATCTTCCCACCTATAAATTAAAGATTTTCTCCCCTTTGAGTTTGGCATAGCAATATATTAATAGTCTGAGGTTCCCTCCAAAGAGCTAAGGGACGTGTGATACTCCCGGGGAGTGGGCTGAGAGGTGTCTATAAACCCAGGGCCAACACATTTCAGCTGTACTGACAGTTAACACAGTGAGACACATCGGTACCACCTTCCACAC